TGGGCTGGCTATACCTTGACCAAACACACACTGACAAGGTTTGGATATCAGTTCCATGGCCCTGGTTGCAAGGTGGCATTGAGTGACATGGCGAGACGATGCCTCTACAGACGGCACAGGGGCTACCAGGAGATGCTTCCATAAGCAGCAGTGCTTGACTAAATTCAGCTAACAGCACTCTGCATATTTTTGGACCTTGCCTTGTGTGATATTTGGACTGAATTTTTATTAATTATGACTCATGATTAACTTTTTTTTACATGTCACTGGAAATGAATTTAGGGCTATGAGCAAGAGGGGTTAAGATGGGAAATTATGCCTGTCGTATGCCCTAAAATAACCCTAAAAACGAAAGTAGTCTTGTTTTCACATACAAAAAGAGTCTGACCTAGATTGCAGAACATAAATGGCATGTGCATGTGCATGTGTATGTACGTTTGTAGTTGAGTATGTGAAGTCTTATATGCATCATACCTAGTTCAACAGTAACGATACCATGGATTTGATCCTACTAGATGCTTGCTAGCTTTCCCTTGTCGGTTGAGCGAATAGCAAAGATATGGGGTCAGTTTGTAGCTACATGTGTACATAGAAGGTTTTTCAAACAAGTGAAAATTAACTGCATTATCAGATGCTTTTGAAAGTGAATCAGATGTACATGCTGAATTAGAGTATACTGTGCCATACACCCAAATAAAGTTTTTGCAGTGCTGTTATGATATAAGTAACACATTTAATGCATATAGCTACTGCATTGTTCATAGCTGCATCTGTTTCTCTTTGCAGTGTGTTCAAAATGGGTTATCGATGGTCAGTACACTGTTGGGCCAAACACTTTTAGGTCTATAGCTATATACCTGCAATATATTTTCAGCAACTATTCACCTTTTCACAAAATTTCGCACAAGAAACCTAAGATCTGCACCAGTTTCAGCCTTTCAAAACAGAACCCAAAACCAAAACTTTCATTGCTTTTTGGGTTCTGTTTTGAAAGGCTGAAACTGGTGCAAATTTTTGCTTTCTTCTGTGGAATTTTTGAAAAGGTGAATAGTTGCTGAAAATTTGGACACCTAAAAGTGTTTGGCCCAACAGTGCACTTATGATGCTTAATAGTCAATGACAGACTCCGGACTAACTGAGTGAGTCAACAAAGCATAAAGAAACGAAGCGTTATGTAGCTTTGTGTGTCTTTGCTGTGTTATGTGTTTTAAACCTTTGTTTTGTTTCCTTTCTGTATACTGCAGTGTTTCGGGCCATCTCCATATCCCCCTTCATTTTGAAAAAGTGTTTCCACTCATACAGCAAGTGAATATAGCTATAAATGTCTTTATCATACTCTTCTCACTCAGTATAGGAAACCTTTCTCATATAGCTACACATCTGTGCACAAGATGCGCACCTTGTTTGCCAGTCACGGACTAAGGAGAACCTCCCACCTCCGAGGCAAACCCAATAGAGATAGTGGTAGAGTTAGCAACAAGTAATTCAAATTAAAGAATGGTGAAGTTAGGGATGTATAAAAGCAAGGAGCAAGACAGGGATGACCCGTGTCTGTGACCCCATGTATCCGAGAGTCGGTAGACTTTCTCTATTATAGGGACGACACGGGGAAATTCCCCGTGATACCGACGTCCAAAACGGCGAAGCATAAAAACTCGGTGAGAATCACCTTCACAACATAATAGCACTAGGTCTACGGGCCCATATCTACCTACTATGTCCCCCAAGACCTTCATACGCACCTTCCGTCGTCCACGCGAGAATTCGCTCACAAGCGACTTTGTGTCATCATCATACATTCTTCATAGTCTTCTTATCTTCAGACGCAAGCTCCTTACCGGAAGCATTGAAGCGTGATTTTTTCAACAGAACTCTCGAATTTGCCGGAGGTGTGCAAGGACTGCTTGTTTTTTGCCGCAAGTCCCTACGGGTAGATCGTTGAGCTCTTCCACGCGTAGTAACTGGGAAACGCCATTGATTGCTACCCCAGCATCAGTGAAACCGATGGGCAAACGGAGGGCGTTTCCCATGCGGTGCGTTTGCCGAATTTTGTCTCGTATCCAGACTAAGCCAGACTGGAGGATACATATTTCAAACTGAAACAATGTTTGCCTCATGTACTTTTCCTCCAACACCACTTAGTTTCACATTTGTTAGCGAAGCATGAAAGGCTCTCTCAGCTAAGATTCTGAAGTGCAAACCCTGCGAACTGCGCATGCGCATTGATGGGCTGGGCATGCGCGGGGCGCGTGTAAGTCGCGTGCGCGGAGCGTCTGACAGGGTAGCTACTGTAGTAGTAGATAGCATGCAGGAGTCAATACACGCCATTCGTTGTGATTCTTGTGTACAAGGAGGCAGAAATTGGCTTGTTCACATTTTTTTTTTCAACGCCATAACTTTAGAACGAGTTATTTTTTTTTTATGAATCAGCAAATCAAGCCGTTTAGATGAACCTGTACTATCGCTGTTTCTCGCGTGAATGGCGGACACACGTGCTAACAGACACAGACAGACGGACAGACACACACCTGTAACCGCGCTGCTGCGCAATGCGCGCACCTCGGTTAATAAGCATGCACAGGTGTTTGCCTCTCTACAGTTCTACGGTGTTGAGTCTCTGACTGCATTGTATGCAGTCTACTACTAGTTTTATAATGCTACGTTCTTGGCCCTTTACAGCATCCCTTCACCAGTTTCCTCACACTGACACATACTAACCACACGTTGGCGACAATATAGGGCGTTTAGTAACCTGATTACTTTGAGACAGAACAGCCAACAAGAATTCTGAAAGCTGACTTTGTTGCATAATTAATGATGGCCACCACCAAACCACTGGATTTAGCTACTTTATTCATTGGGAAAGAAAATATTTAAACGATGTCAGGGGTGTCTCTAATGAGAGGTTTTAACTGTCTGCAGCAAGGTGGGTATAGCTTATAGAATAGAACGATGTCCTTGTGTTATAGGGCTTTCCTTTTAGGAGGATCCACTGCTGCTGCAAATGTGGTAATACACCCTTACACACCCACTGAATAGTTTTTGACAGAAAGAATCATCTCTCCTTGTGTGAGGAGACCTTTGGCTTGTGGTGGCAATGCCTGGCTCATCACAACCATTACAGCCCCCTCATTTAATAGTACCTCTCACCTTTGTTTTGCCAGCAGTACAAGAACAACAGAAGACTTAACCTTCGGCGCGCTTGCGCGCGAGATTAAGTTTTCTGTTATTCATTGTCTATTCTAACCGTAGCCCGTTTCCCTTTTGTGACTATAATTATAGTTAAAGAAAGTTTACAGTTTACATCTGAAAAATTATTTCAAGGTAGATAAATAGCTAGGACTGGCAAGAGGAGAACCTGTGCACTTTCCTCTTATAATATTGCCGAGCTGCGCTGTAGGAAAAGCTCTCAGTCAGGACTGATGGGGCAAAATAACTGTAATCACTGGTAGAGTTAAGAGGCCACCAAATTCCATAGGCTGTCTGGTCTGGGGGAATGCGTATCCTGTGGCTCACGGCCTGGTATACTCGCAGAAGTACTCCACTAAGTACTCCTCGTCTCAATTCTGTTCATGTACCTCCGCTTAAATCTCGCTCGCTGTGCGCATGATGCATGCATCTCCTTGTTACGTTTTCATTTTTTCTTTCTGCTCTGTGTTCTTAATGTACTGCTAGGCAACATGAGAGTGTTATGCGGGGTGTAATGAATGTAACCAATAATTTTAGTTACTCTTGTCAGCATGTTTGCTTGCATGTTTTCGCACGTAAAAACACGACCTCTTTCTGTATAGAGAGTATTTTAAACACACAGACCACAACTCCTGTCCTGCTACGAACATAGAGTGGCTAAAATGAATCGGGAAACTGAGTTTTGGTGCTGCATCTTTCTCCGTGTTAATTTTGTGTCAATGTTGTTTGGCCACTGGTTGCCCAACCTGGCACTACTACAACAATGTCACGGGACAGTGCGAGTGTGGATATCACCTAGTCTGCAGCAGTGATGGCAACCAGGTGGTTGATTGGAAATGCTTTCTGCGCAACATCTTCGGGGCATGATGGTGACTACTATGGCGGTGCTTGCCAAGTCAAGCCAACTATCACAATATTAACAGAATGTATTCAGAGATGCCCAGCAATGCTAGCCAGAATACGGAAAACAAAATTGGAGATAAGCTACATCCCTGAGCTTACTGTCCTCATCTTTCTTCAGTTTGTTCCAACAATGTTAATTTTTATCTGTTTGCGTCCTGTTCCGCTTGAACATCACCTCACACATCACCTCAGACTTCGTTGGTGTTAGTGAGTCTAAGGATCAGTTACAGACGCTTATAGATGTGGTGCAAGCCTACTGTCGAAAGGAGGCTAAAGGCTAATGTGAGTAAGAGTGCAGTGATGGTGTTCGCTAGGGAGTCAGGGGATGGTGCTTGGAAATGGGGGGAGTATGTTTTTGCCTAGAGTATCTAAATACATCATCCTTGGGTGTTGATTTTACTAGTACTGTGCATGGGATGTGCATATCAATAATGTGTTAGACATGGTAGAAGGAAGGTTAATCAGTTGCATAGTGTAAATTAGTAATAGGGTATTAATTTGAGTGCTCGCAGGTTGTTTGTTGCTGGCGGTGGTTAGGCCAACTTTAGAGTATGGGGGTGAGGTGTGGGAAGCCATAAGACTCAGGCAGCTGCATTAGAGTCCGTTATGCTGGGAGGAGCTAAGCGCATTCTTGGGTGTTCGTCTAAGACATGTAATGAGCCGTTAGGGGGATATGGGGCTTGATACGTTACAAGGGCGTAGGGATAAGAATAAGTTGAAGTGGTGGTATAAGTTAGCGGCATTGCCAGGCAATAGGTATCCGAAGAAGCTTTTTAATCAGGAATGGAATTTTAAGCCACAGAGAGGCAGGCAGAGGAAGGGTTGGAGTAAGGTCATTGATGATCTCTTTTCGTCATTAGGTTCTTGACAAGGCAGAGTGGTTGCATGATATTCAAAATGGGGATTGCTCCTTGAAGGGCTTTTTGTCTATAATAGGGGACAGTATTAATGAGAGAGAGATTAGAAAGTTTGAAGAGGGGCTAAATAGCAAAGTAAAGCTGTTATTGTATAAGACATTTAACAAGGTGGTAGAGTTCAAAAAGTACTTGCATGGGAAAAGTGATGCTGGGTCTAGATTAATGTTTAAGTTCAGGTCAGGCACGCATGGGCTAAATGAGGAACTGGGCAGGCATAGGGGGAGGGAGGGGGTGAAAGAGTGCCTGTTGTGTGATGATGAGTGTGAAAGTGTGAGTCATGTGTTGTGGGAGTGTCCAGCATATAGTAGTCTTAGGAGCAATTTCTTAGTTGCCCTGCAGGGGAAGCTTGGGGATGATGGGTTTGAGCATTTCCAGTCGCTTGATAGTTTCAGGAAAGCATCCTTTATATTGGGTAGTGAACTGTGGGAGGATAATTTTGGTTCTTTGCTTGGCCTTGTTAAAGATTTTATTTTGGATGTTTGGGAGCTAAGAAAGGTTAGGTTATACGGCGATAGTCCCTGTGTACAACAAACCCAGTCTCAGATTGCGTCTGGGGAGCTGCAGGGTGTCGCTGATGGAAGGGGTGAGTTGAGGTGTCTGGGAGGTGAGACAGACACCTCATGTTCATGTTCATATGGTGTATGTTCGTGTGTTAACGGTTCCGCCCATTGCTCTGGGTGCGTGGTCTATGGCCCTAGTGCTATGGCAGCCACCTGAGTATTATACTAAAATGCTTTGTAGGAACTTTCCAAGCAGTCAATACGTGTCAATATCATTGGCCTTGCAGCAGAAGTGAGACTCTGCAAACTTATTACCCAGAAAACACAAGGTATGCATACTACAATAGATATTCAGTGACATGCAGAAAACCCTGCATTATACGATCATTCGCTTTAGTTAAGTGGCTCAATGATACTGACTGAATTGCCCCTCATTCAGAATTCCTCAGAATTTATATGTACGCTGTGAAGGGTGAAATTTCTTAGAAGAAAAGCAGTGAGTGCAAACAATTTCCCTACACACTTTCGTTGTTGACTCATAAACTTTCGTGAAAAAAGTTTGTTAGACATTTTCCGCACCCACAATAATATAATAATTATTATGTCATGCAATATGGCGAATAGGTCGTGATTCTCTTATGGAGTGTGTGTCTATAATGCAGGGGTGTACTCAGTGGTCATGAATGAAAGCCACTTCAGAGACCTGATGATTCAGCACTGTAGACCTCCCCCTGCTAAGGTTGGTATTGCATTGCTTTGTTGATCTTTTCTGTGTGCTCTGTGTATAGATCAGTATCTTTGAGAAGACCCTTTGCTCTCGTTGGTGTTGATGGTTCGGTACTACGTTCAAAGTCGAACTTCCAACCTTTGTGACATAATGATAATGTGGACATTTTTAAAAGACTTGTCTCGTCCCCAGACCCCGCCCACTCATCACGTGAAAAAGGGGTCTGTTGGGCAGATATCGAAATGAAGATCTCGCATAACGGCCAATTAATGTTAATCTATGGACATTAACGGGGCGGAGCATTTCATGCCTCATCATGTAGTGTACCTCTCACGGCTTATTAGATACAGATACCACATCTTTACGACTGTATCTCAGATCAAAAGCTACCAGACAATCCGCTCCTTCCCCTTGTACGTAGGTGGTAATAGTTCATAATGAACTACTTAATGTGTACGTACTATGCGTGTGAGGGTGTTTTGGTATTTTCATTTTCAGGTTCACACAGAAGCATCTCTCATAAAAATGGGTAAGTGGGACACACCGGGGGGAGGTATAGGTATGTATGATATCTCAGTCATTTGTACCGTTCTGTCTTTGATGATATATAAAGGATATCACCGCCTTTCTCAGGTTTTCCAACTCATTTGCTGAATGGACCACTAACACCTTGCTTATGGTAGGTTAAGATATTTGGTTTGCGACATGAAAGGAGAATGGAACGCTGTGTGTGTGTGATATAATACTACATGTAGCCACAAGTCTAACTGTACCTTTCATACACAGTCATTTGGAGAAGGCATCACTCGAAAAGATAACAGCAGATGGCTATTTCTGCCCACAGGTATGTTGATATCATTCATGAGGAAGTTTCATATCATGTCCAAGAAAAACACTTTTTGCCCACCTTTTTACCTATACTTTCAAGAATGTCTACATACCAGACATAAAGGGATCTAAACAACCAACGTACTGGCATTTTTGTTTAGCTGAAAATTACAGAATAGGTAAATAGACTGATGGCTTTCCCCTTCAATAAGCTTGGGAATAATTTTGCTTTGTGATTTGCAATTGCTAAGGGTCGCAGTGTTTCAAAGTGACGATATAATTATGCGGGAGAGTACTGTATATACCTCTTGCATGCCATGGGATTTTTGCACAAATAAGCAGCAAAACATTGATCATGTCTTTATTAAGACCTTCTATACCATCTATGGAACGTGCCATCGGCTGCTACTTTGCTAAAGGCACTATGGATTAACTAACTATTATGATGATTTAATTACACCCATTGCATATTTACTGTGTGGGAGCAATGAGAATGAAATATCGATTATAGATTGTTACATAAGTAGTATGTATCCATGCACAGGTGGTTGATATCAGTACATTGTGTACTTTGTTATGATGGAAAAAAGGACGTGGTTAAATTGCACTAATTTACTTTATTCCAATTGTTATTTCACCACACACGCCGAATACATATAAGCACGCAGACAGTGGCATATCCAATAAAATCTTGGCAATGACTGTGAAGGGAGCAAAGTGTATGGTGGAGTATATAAGTACGTACATGCATACCCCCCAACCTCTGCTTCGATTGTCTTTCCTTCTTTTTCCCCATGAAGTAGAGAGCTGAAGTTGAAATCAGGCACAGGGTATAATCACGTATACCGAACGTCCAGTGCACTATGCACTGAGCCACAACTCTCAGACAAAAGCTGGTCTTCTTCTTTCCAATCTGAAAGTATATGCACATAACGCGCAACACGACATGCACTCTATAATGCTTGATCACCGTGTTATAATTCCAGCACGTGTAATCAACTTGCAAATAGATGAGATTGTCTGTTTTTTTTGCAGTGTAACAGCAAATACTGTGAACTTCCGGTCACCTGCCAAGTGTGTGGTAAGTCTCACCAATTTGCCTGCGTTATAAACACTTCATGGGACTTGTGCTGCCACTTGCACGCTGCTAGCTCCGGTTCAATTTTGTCTGAATGAGAAACACTTGATGGAATTGTCCCTCCCGTTTGTAGCCAAATGAACAACTCTCTCACAATCTGCTCCCCTGATTATACAGGCCTCATAGAGTATGTATGTACTGCTGTTTTGTGTGATTTAACCATCCCCTCCAAGTGAGTAAGTGGAGCCTTTGCCAGCTATTGACTGGAACAAAACACTGAACAGCTGTTGCAACCTCCTACATGCATTGTATATCCCTGCATGCACAGTACACATACGCAGCTAGAGTTGCATGACATGTCTTCTGGGGCATATGTCATGGTGTGTAGGGGTCTGGCTTGAGAAGCGGACCCCACCTCATGATACGTACATCCACTTGTTTCTACATCACCGCGTACTCTTACTTACCCCAGCCAATTCAACTCGACCTACAGGTGTATATAAGGAAAGGCTCCATTGAATTGCAGCATTCGAATATCATAAGTTGATTGAGCTGCACATGTGGTGTAGCTCGTCGTGCTCACCACTGCCAATGTTTTAGTCTCTGGGGTCACTGCTAACCAACTTACCACTCCAGTGTGTTTTTCAGTGGTGACGTATATACTATGTGTGTGCAAGATAGCGTCAAGGTTTACATAGGTGCACTAGGTCGCATTCCCAGTAAAGGGGTGTGGGGATGTTTGTGTATGCTCCCTATTGATTTTGCTATTTGTGACGTTTGCTCAACATATGCTAGGGGGTGACAGAGGCCATTGAATCGTGCACTGAAATCTACGTACGTACATAACTATTTAGTAGTTTGTAGTATAATTGGTGCAATACACGCTGGCTTACCATGCATCTCACCCAAGAGGTGCTCACTTGAAACAACTAGTGCACCACTGCATCAAACCACAAGCTAGCAAAAGCACATAGTGCATGACTTTTGTTGAAACGCCGAATTACCCCAACAGATGCTTGCGTCGATAATTGTGAACTTTCTAGCTGTAAGCTGATAATCTAGCTGTGCAGGTCCTACGTAGCTAATGAAAAATTGCCACTATATTCATGAGTGTGACAAGGGCAGCAGGGGCAGTGTATAAAGTGTTACTGCTGAGGCGTTTGTGTTAAAATTCTCTGTTCACAATATCATGTTGCAGAGACCTCGTCATCACTTTGCCCACAACTTATAGCCAGGGCAAATGCACTCAACCCTGAAGTATTTGAACCAGTCTACGTATGCCGTGTTCGTGCATGCGCATGTCAAGTTTAACAAAATTGTTGTCATCGGTCACAGATGACAAGGTGGGCGTGCGTAGCTTGCCTGCATGTATACATTGCAGTATAGGAATCTGCCTGTTCTGTAAGCATAATCTACTTGCAAAATGCAGGACTGACGCTGGTGAAGGCACCTCATCTTGCAAGGTCTTACTATCACCTTTTCCCTCTCCCTGCTTTCACAGAAACTCTCTTGGAAAGGTGAGTGGTTAGAGTGTTGTAAGCAGGGTGGTTGTAAGACACTAGCAATAATTTTTGGACATGTCCAGTGATGAAGACATACCCCTGATAAAAGGACACCTCACTAAACTCAGACACTTTACTCTGCTCCATTGGTGGTTCCACTGTCCAAATACTCTCTCCTCCTTGGAATAACCCATAATGTCACAGAACAAGATGTAGTAGGATTTCAAACTCCTAACTTGTGTACCTAAAGTGTGCGCTAACTAGCCAAGAACAATAGTCCCACCTCCTCTCTCCTCCCTAGAGCCAGCATAATTATATGTTTATTACTGGACATCCTTAATGCTATTTACCTTCACAGGTCCATTTGTGTTGGATGTCAGAGCATTGTAACTGAGAAGGTACGTTGACAGTCAATATTACACATGCCTTCAGAGCAAAAGACTACCCTACATTTTGACAGTACTTAGGCTTATGCATTAAAAGGAGAGATGGCCTTATAGGGATATTGCCTATCCTTGTACATATACACTACATCTCATTTTGCACAGATAGCATGAGTTGGTACGTATAAACACACAATCAATGTCCAAGGGTCTGATGTTGTGTAAAACTTGCAAAACAACAATACTTTGACCTCATAGAGAATGTATCCACAGTTTGTTAGGAGAAATAGTGGCTCCCATTCCTCTTTCCCAGAAGAAGAGAACTAGGACTATACTGCCAATGGATAATTGTCAGTCTTGGCCTAACAACCACACGAAATGTTTTACCAATTAAGTTTACAAAATTAGGTACATCCTCTAATAATGTTAGGGTGAGAGACACAGTACATTATGCACATTACCCAGAAACTGCTGATTATTCAATACAGCTATAATGCTTAGAGTGCGTACGTATCGTGTTTTGAAATGAATCGGCCATTGAAAAGTGAGAGAGAGGCAGTGTGTACTGAATAGTAGCCTAGTTACTAATCCATATTCCTATCACACGTGCAATTTAGAAGTGTGTATACGCGTGGCACTACCAAATTTAAACGCCAATCAAAATTTTAGCAATTATTGCGTCACTCGTAACAGACCAACGTCTCCCTCCTGCTGGTATGCGTGAATTCACTGGGTGTGTGTTTCCCTGTTAACGGGAAATTTGATGCATGAGCATAAAAGGAGCATTGGCGAGGGGGTGATTTTGTTGCTACCCAACCAAGTAGCCAAGTGTGCTGTTCTGGTTTCAATAAGAGGTGCAAGTTTCAGTACCTGCTCCCCCTGGAGGCTGTTTTGTTGCCATAGTACAGTGGCATGGTGAAAAGGTTGCACTGTAGCATTTTTGAGCACATGTACCTATACAGTTAAGAATGAGGTGTTGTTGAAGTAATCTGAGCGTTTGCAACAGAACCTGTCCTCCGCCCTTCTGCCCAAAACTGCACTGTATATGCAAGCTGCATGTGAAAACTATGAGGTAGAAAGGCAAAGGCACAACAAACAAATCAACTACACCTAGGACAGCTCTCAAAATAAAGAGCTGCCCTAGGTGGGATTGATTCGAACCCACGACACTCTGCAGTCTAGGCGAGCGCTCTACCAACTGAGCTACCAGGGCAACTCAGCTGGTAGGGGTTCGAATCTACAACACAACATAACACAAGGCAAACACCTCAAACCACTGTGCTATGGCACAGTATATTCTCACTTATGTACACAATGACCTTTGATCTCCTTAAGGTTTATGCTAATGAATGAGCATGGAAATAGGTATGTACGTCATAATAGACTAACTGCTGTGTTCAAAACTTCACTTCGCGAAGTGTGTATGTACTTATAAAGACAATAGCAACCTTTGACGCCTTTATGCTACCAACAAACACATCCATACTGTGATAAATTGAGGAGATTCACAATCAAAAGGGCGGAAATACCTTATATCATACTAAAGACTCTCAAAAGACTACGTTGTTGTGCTGTTTTAAGTCACGGCTTCATTTGTGTGTGTGTGTGTGTGAATGAAAGACCATAAAAGTTGCTTCACTACATGTACATGTCTTGTCTTTGTTTGAGACAAAATACGCTTTGTGCAATTCTTTCTCTCTGCCTACCTCGAAATAATGCTGGTGGTTTAGTCTTTTAACGACACGTGTCTCTCAACTGTATGATGCAATGGGTTGTTCCTTTCGGGTGGCTTTGTGTGTGTGTGGGGGAAAAATATAATTTCCACAATAAGGTTATGGTTTTTTTAGGTGAGGTCGTTGACTGAGACATAACAAGCAAATCGGAGACAATAGACATTAATGGCTCAGGATGCGTGTCTTACTGTTAATGCCTGTAGTGGCAGCAGCAGCACATTGGGGTCAAAACATAGGGGCATTGTGACGCCAATTCCATCTAAGTACATCAGACTTTGTTTTCTGAGCACTATATGCTGTGCAAGTTTAGTCTCTTTCATTCATTATGAAGGGCATAATTATATTGAGAGACCAAGTCTAGCCATAGGTAGGTAATTCATTTCTAATTGCACAAGCTATTATGCGTTTCTAATTGTGCAATTAGAAAACGTGTATATGGCTTGCAAGACAAGATTTTAGATACGCTGCACGTGTCACTCCTGATATGGGTATTATTGTTTATTGTAATGCAGTGTATTGAAGTTGGGCAAGGCTCTGTATCACGCATTGAAGAGCAAACAAGATATCATTATGACTGTTGTATATATATTCCTTTTAGGTCTATTCGTGTCCAAAATGTACCCAACACTTCTGCCTTGACTGCGACCTCTATATTCATGAAACTTTGCACAACTGCCCTGGATGTTTGTGACCTGTAGTGAAGTATGAACTTTCTAATATGCTAACATGCGGTTCCCCATCATCTTATGTGTTGGGTATGTGTGATATGGGTCACTAGAAGGGAAAAAGCAATGGTTCATGTGTGTCAGAGGCCATTTAAATTCCACTCGTACCTCTTGGGCATGGGTGTACCTCATTCAGACTGCAGTGCATGACACCCAACTGCATAATAATGTGGATGCCAAGATGCGTACACACATGCCAAGGTAATATGTTACGCACTAGGTGTAGACTGCATTGCACACACACACACACACACAAAGTATACTACCGGAGTCAACAGGGAAGGAGATACGCTCAATTATGGGCAGCTAGGCCCTGCCCACAAACGCACGTGTCATTTATTAATGGAAGTACATATTTTACGTGTATATATGGCTAACGACGACATTCATGTTGTCGCCCATGTCAGCGCGTAGTAATACACCATAAAACTACCCACAATAATGCACAAGAATTCAAGCTCAGTAACTATTGGGAAGGGAAATGAGAGAGCCCTACCCACCCCCCCCCCCCCCCCACCCAGCAGTAGGTATCTGAGCCCCTGGGCAACATTGAGTTTAACAATTCTCCCAACCACTGCCTTTGATCAAATGCTGGCAACCTTGTATTACCTAGGCAATGCTTTAAACCAATTAGTTACAAATGTGTGTTTTGGTTCATCAAAAGTAATGCGTTCATGTCCTCACTTAAAACTCATTTTGTCTGTCAAATACTAGTAATTGTGTCAGTACAACACGAAATGCCATGGAGTCCAAGAGTCATGTGCAAGCATTAGCACACTCATTATGACACGGTGGTGAGTGCTCTAATCGAACAAACCGGCTAGACTACTGCACGGGATGCCTCCCTGTGCTTGTCACAGCTGGTGCACCACCCGGTGTCTGATAATATTATCATGTGCAGGGTGCCAGCAGACATATGGTGGAGTATATACATTGGAGCAGGTATCATCACCTTGCACTTCTGAAATGAGAGACCTCTACCCCACCAAAAGACCTAATTAACCCTCGGCGCGCATGCGCAGCGAGTTTCTCTGTATTTTGGAAGCATCCTTAATTCGTGTACGTACGTATGTTCCGTGCATATGGGCAGCACTTTCAGATTTGGAGCAGGTACGTAGCATCACCTTGCATTTACACAAAAGAGAGTCCTAGATATCCGTGAGGTGCACACGCCCCATAAGTTAGAAGGACCTCTATGGAAGCATCCTCCAATACGTTTAGTAAGTGCACGTTTCGGCAGCGCTTGCAGGCATTTAAACACTCTCCTGTTTTAGAGCTTCCATCCTGTACATACGTAAGGGGCCATTATTGCCACATGAAGCTCAATTGTATGTACCTGGTAAGTGTATCTGGTAACTGTGTAACCTGTTAGGCCCCTTTACTAATTAGTAATTATGCAAATTAGCAATGTTGCTTCAATATTCAACTGGTATAATTTTCTGTGTGCACTCACTGACACTTCTTAATGCCTAGTCCAAATTTCGTTACAACCATAGACGTTACAGTATACACGACTGACCATCTCACCAGGGGTTACCTCATAAGGGACATTAAACCAAGTGCTAAGCTGCCTACTTTCCTTTTTCCTTGCCTTTTGTGCCTTCTCTTTGTACCCTACTCATTTTCTCACTGGTCTTTGTCAATCTTCTAATGGGTTTGTGGGCAAGGAACATGTAGCTGTGGAAAATGCCTGGTTTATGCAGGGTGCCCCCATACAATGGTGGTTGTGGAAAGCTATCACTTCCCTTGTGCATTGTCATTTGTAGGTAGTATGTAGGTTCCTCTTTAGCAAACACATTTTTGTAAATTTGGGCTGCCCTGTAATACTGACTGACCTTTTGTACCTACTTACATATAATATTATTATCTTGCTTGAATGAGGGAGAGACAACTGCTAAAATTTGGCATTACAACCAATTTTTGCATCTCATAGACTCTACACATACACACACCAATAGCTCCAACTGCTGAGGTCGGACACGTTCGAATCGGGGACACTTTCTGGCTGAGCTCCATATGGAGTACATACATTTCACACATGCGTGGCAGTTTTGTGGGCTCCTCTAACTCAAAGTCTAGACTATCTACCCAAAGGTGATACTGTTTTTCAAGTCACGGTTGCCAACTGTGGATTTAGCACACAAGTCCATGTCAGGTGGCCACTGGCACGCTGGCTGTGGGAACCCACTCTCCAAACCCCAATACTCGCAATTTTGGCTGATTACCAAGCTGACCTTATTTCAGGGGGTTCTTGTGAACACACACACACACAAACGTATGCACGGTATTTGGCACAGAGCTCCCCACACTGTAATACGATACATAGGGTTTCTGTCCGACTCTGTTATGTAGGGTGTCCTTAAGCCCCGATGAATGGGGGTTCTACTGGGATGTTATAGGCCATACAGATCTAGGAGTGACCCTTGTGCTTGAATTAACATCAACAGTGTTCTATGCCGGCAATAGGGGCCACCTGAATGAAGATATTTGTAGTCATTAGGCGACTCAAAGAGTGAAATTTCTCCATTAGTTCTTGCAATAATACCCCCCTCTAATGGGCACTAGAAGATGTAAGATGTGTACACGTAACACCACTTCCATATGTGTATTTCCCTCACTCTAATTACTCTAGACACGTGCCATGGAGCCTCTATATGATAATGTTCCCTCTGTGCCAGAATCTCAGGCATCATAATATAACCAAAAAGTTGATTGCATTATAGCGTTTCCTTGCTTGCATATAAAAATGACACACTTAAATATCAGGTAGTTTCTCCACTGTGATTATATGAAGGATATAATTATAATGTGGAACAAGATTCCACCGACATATATATATACACAAGTGATGCTGCTTCTGTGTACTGAACATTACATGACAGTACATTTAAACCATACCTGTCAATTGAAAAAAAAGCAAGAAAAATACACGGCAAAATGGACAACTTGTACATGGACGACGGCAGAACAATGAGAAATCGTGCCAAACACACGCACACATATGTACATATACAAAAACAAACCAGTTACACGTGATACACACCACAAAACACACACACAACACACTACATAGGCTTCACAACATCCCGTAGTGCGTGACTTTGTTTGATGCTGCAACGCTGTGTTTTGACGAAGGTGCTATGCTTGCGTTATTAGGCTGACTTGCTTTTCTTCTTCTGCCCCCATCGTAGTGTTCGGTTGCAGCCTGACTGACAGTGGCAAGCTTTTTAGGTGGTACTGGTGGTCCTGCCAGTGATTGGCAGCAAGCAAATGATGCACTTGCCACTGCTTGGGGAAGGGCTGGATGAGAAGTCAAGGGAGGTGGAGGTGGGGGTAGGTTGCTCTGAGCAGTCGTACAAAGGACATTGTGTACTCTTTTGGAACTGGAGGAGCTGCCCTGCTTGCTCTTAGCATCCCTCTTTCTGTCTACAACTGGGATGACGTACGTCTTGCCCTTGTGCTTGATGATGAGTGATGCAGGGATGGAGTTATGGGAGCTGTTTGTGCCAGTGGGCGAGAAAGAGTTGATCTTTTCTTGCGAAGAACGCTTGAGGGGTGAAGAAGGAGCTGGCTTGTCTGTTCCATAGCCTTTGATGGGACCAGGGTACTGCTTGGGAGCTACTTGCGCACCTCTCTCGTGGGAATCTAGTGATGATCTTTTCTTTAGAAGCTGCTTTTCTTTTCTCGGAACAGCTGTGGCCTGTTCGAGACTCTGATGCCGGCTTTTGCTAAAGACTCCCTTGAAAGAGGACGACTTTGCAGAGGCACCGTTTTTCCTCGATGTGCTCTTATCGCTGTCATTGTCGCTGGCGTGCCCTGTAGTGATGGTTGTTGCTTTGCCAGCCACAAAGGTAGCGGCAGTGTATCGCTGAGAATCGCCTGAGCCCTTGGTGATGTACACCTGGAAATGGTGGTCCTGGCAGGCATCGAGTGTCTCATAAATGTGGTCCTCCTTGGAGTCTGGTTCGTCGGGCAGGGGAGTTGCGGCTATGTGCGTGGTGTGGATCGGTGCTGGCTGTGGTCCGTCGTAAGTCCCGTCCGAACCGGAATGGTGCGAGTGACGCGATGCTCCACCAGACCTCTTGTCGTCTGCAGGCTGGTTGAAGGTGTACTCTTCCAGGTCACCAGGACCCAACTTGGCAAGATTGTCGTTGACATTTTCCGATGTGGTGGCTTTTCTCCTCGCCTCCTCCATCTCCATCTGCATCTGCTGCTGCTGTTCCCGCATTGCCAGCAGGTCCATGGCCTCGTCGATGCAGATCACTGAAGCAGAGTCTCCCGTCACGTTATTGAAGATAAAATTTCCGAGCTCTGACTCGAATTCTGTCTCTGTTTCCCAGTAGCTTGAGTATCCGTCTTCTGCTGGTTCGTGGACGTCTTCGAATTCCGAAAGGTCGTGAATGGTTTCAAAGTACATCCCCAGACGGTACTTGGGTCCGGCACGGGGAATTCTGCTCTTCAGTTCCTCCAGTTTCTCTGGAGTTATCTGTGTGTTTGAATATGTGGGAAAGGAAGAATGATAATTGCCCGAACATTGTAAGGACATACCCCGATTTTCCACATCATAAGATGTGCCCTGCATTCACAACTTGTGTGACAACATGGCTGCTTTCAACCACCCTTGCACAACATTAGGCACTGTTTGCACTTAGGCCATTAATGCAGAGAGGTTCCGTGAACACAAAAATTTGGGCTATGTTCAATCCACCTGCCAGAAAATACCCTGCATAAGTATCCTATCAGAGTGTTATTGCAGCACCAAGTGGACCTCTGAGCATATGAAGTAAGAAGGTCATGGATCACGTACTGTCAAATACTTGTTGCTAATAGTTGGGTTGGCTCGAAGAGATACTCAACCTAAGATTCGTTATCAACCATAATGGTTTGTTGGTGCTACGCTGTGTACTTCCCACATCAAGTATGTACATATAGCACCTGTCTTATGTTTCTCCCTGCCAACACTCACACACAAATAGCTATAGCTCTCATGCATGTGTATGCACTCAAGAGTCTCCTAATACCTGTATGTTCAAGAGATGTGGGGGGTGTGGGAGGGGGCAGGGCTATGCATTTCCAGCTAAAGAAATCTGTGTACCACTTCAGATGTAAATACCCATCAATCCACAACTTCCCTTGTGTTTCACAGGAGGAATTTGAACCTCCAGAACCTGTTTCCTTTCCGACATAACACATACTGGGAAAGGAACTGTGATTGAGCTTCCACTCTATGCCCCTGGAATACCAATCACTATAATTTCAGGGGAACTCCTATATTATACAACCTGTCTTCATGAACAACATAATTATAAGATATATAGAGGTGGTGCTCCCTGTGAAAGCCATACTAGCGGATATATAAAACGTCTTACATTCAACTGAATTATGGAGATGCTGCTCACTGTGAGAGGCAAATGGGTTACTGCTAGCAGGTATAATAGAACCTCTTGCATTCAACTGTGCTATATATTTGCATGAATTATGGAGATGGTGCTCCCCTTGAGGGCCAAATAGGTAACTTAGTTTGGCTTGGTGGCATGCAGTATGTTGTCTGCTGACCGAGGGAGGGCCCAAGATCTCCGAGAGAGAGAAAGGAATCTAACCACCTTGGAGGGCCAACGTGATCCTTTCCTTATCCGTCCACCGTCCTTGGCCCAATCACCCCGTGTGCGGCGAAAATTCAATCTAACCTGACTAGACCATCTGCATTCCTTTGGCCTTGTTAAGGTCAACCCTCTCCAAAGTTGACTACTAGGAATAATGTCAGATGAACCTCCGATTCCCCTCCAGTGTAATTTTGGCACACGCATATCCACATCCGATGATAGGTGTGTATGCTTACGTCACACACTCTGTGTGTGTCATTATTATGCTGTTCCAAATGTGTGGGGTAGTTAGTAGTGAGCACCCCTACCCCTTGGGTAGTGTTCGTTTACACAGAATACGTGCACACCAGGCCACACTGTGATACCATACCTAGTGCTAAAGTTTAATCTGACCAGACCCTCCCCCCCAATGCATCTGACATAGGCCCGCCACCCATGTATACCATTACCTGTATACATATATACAAGCCTCCCCCTGAACACTCAGACTGCTACCACCCATGCACATGCAATATACCATACACTAATATTGTACCCCCCAAGGACACCGTACAGGCAACCTGATTGTCCCACAGTCTGAATTCCTTCCTAGTTTCCTAACAACGGCTGTCTCCTACATGCGGACCCCCAACTGGCAAAACAGACACTCCCGCTTCCACCTCTCCCTGTAACCTAAAACCACTCTTACTCACTGCCACTGCACAGCTGTGTTCATTTGCATGCAAGCCCCACTGCCTGTGAATATTACTGCACAAAAACAACAAAGTTCAATTTAGAACTTTTTCCTGCTACCATCTTCTACATGCCAAGGGCAGCTTTCCCATGACCCCATGCAAGGGGGATATTCTCATCAAAAGTATACAGCTACTATTATCTTCTGCAAAGGCGCACAGATTACCCATTCAAACTGAGACAAGTAAGCTCACACCTAGACACAAGCAGATATAAACACAGCGTTAACTGTCTCTTTCGTTCGACGGGTGTAGTACAACAGGTGAGAACACAACTGATGTGCTGACTTGTTTGTACCAGTTTCAATACAGTCTATTGCAGTGGACGATGTGTGAACTAACACAGTCGCTATTTGCAGGGTCACGCGCACAGCCGCGCAAACAAGTATGTTTCGCCAGCACTCCCGCTCCCAAAATAGGGCACTCTCAGAAAAATAACCGGATGGAGGCTTATTGCCTTATCGATACCCCCGCGTCGTAGCTTTGCAAATAGTGCGGAGGGATCAAACGTCCGTGGGCACGAACAAACCGAAAACAACTGGGCCACTATCTGCCGCAGAAGGGCAGGTGGTGAATAAAGTGTATGTGGGAAACTCCTCAAATGCGTACACAGAATCGCTAGATCCGTGTATCATTTTCAGTAAGCTTTGCTGGGGGGCGAAGCGGCACAAATGGCGGAAAAATAAAAAAGGATGGCGGAAGATATTAGATAGAATCTTTCATTGCTATCTACTTATCCTGCACACAGTTTCCATCACTGTGTGTTTGACTAGCTGCAAATTGTATAGCTAGCAATATTACAAGTGTACTGGAATAATTATTGTTAACAGCCATGTTACAGTAGCTGCCTCACCATGTAAAGAGAGTTGCAGCAATTAGCTAAGCTAGCTACTGCAGATGCACAATGCACACAGAGCTTATAGCTAGCTTGCTAGCTATTTGCAACGCTTCCCTTTTCACGTAAATTTGAGCCGCCTGTATAATACTGTAAACGATCCCTGCAGCGCATGGCACATGGTTATGCAAAATTCCTCCGAAGGCAAACTCACCAAAAAATTTTCTGCAGCTCCATGTCCGGAGCGGTGGCGCTCCGAATATTCACAGTAGTGGTAGGGCTCCAACGTTGGTACGTGTGCAGTCATCCTGAGGGTCGCACGCACCAAAATGCAGGGTCAGTTGCTGGTGTCTCGTGGGTTCGGTGCGTGTGGCTACGCAGGCACGATGACAGCAGATCTATAGGCCGGGACGAACTGAACCGCAGTTTATGCGTCAGACACTAGCTTTTATACTCTCCCTGATCTCTTTCGTCGTCTAGGGGCGAGTGTTAGTGGTATAACTGCATAATTCCTTTTATAATGCGCGCTGCACAGTGCACGCGCACGCTGACAGACACGCCCCCCATATCTACACCGGCGGTGTTTATAATACGGTTACTGAGCACTTCTCCGTTAGCACACGTAAAATGGCTTTCTACTTTTTCTGAACAATGATCACACAGGCTGGATATAGGGTGAAGTAACTACAAATCTGATACAGTGTCCACAGCTATCTGAACAGTCCCGGCTTCTCTTGTCTACCTTGTCTCTTCCTCCTCCCCTGGAACACATCCACGTTGGCAGTAGACACACAAAATATGCTGCATATGCCAGACATGGGGAAAAGGGGGAATTGGTGAAGTAACTTGCGAAAGGGTGACTACATACTTGCAATCTGTGACCATAAACAGATCGGAAGTTAGTCATAAGTAGGTATCTATTATTGTGTCAACAATGCACACTACCAAAGTATTGTTCTCTTCTTCACCTACTGGCAAAAGGTGAGTGATCACTATAACAACAAGTGAGTGGGGTGGCTTAGAGTCGGTGTACATAACTTAACCCACTACATTCTGTTGAATGGATCGATTGGTATTTCACCAAGACACATATACAACCCGATTGTCCTTAAGATCACAATGTGGAACAACGTATGGGTGGATCTATTGGCTAGGGAGGGAGTGGGTGGGGTGGGGATTTAATAGACATCCCTGCCTGTGTGCACATGACTCGGAAAAACCACCTTCGAAAAAACGTACTTCTCATTGTATATACGTATGCGCAGCTGACCTAGTAACATTATTTCGAGGATTTGCAGCTACTTCCTGAGTAGTGAGGGACTTGTATAGACCCAAACTCTTCTTCAATGGTGTCACATACGCTCTGCTTATGGGCAATTGAATGCTTTGTTGCAACACTCTTTTGAGAAAACATCTATTGGTCCACAGTTGGAAGCGTTATTTACATAAAGGGGTCCTGAGAACAAAATGGTAGACACACACACAAATAGCTCTAAGCCCCCTCTCAAGCTCAAAGAGGTGGTAATTAGGGATACCTACACGCTCCCTACATACATAAGTAGGGGAAGCGACTGAATGTCGACCGAATATATGTGTGTACGTGTACAGACTAAATGCAGGACAGCAGTCCACCACCATTCCGACTAATTTCTACAAAGGCACCTTCTGCTCAGTGCTATTCCCAAGCGAGACCATCTCGCTGACATACTTTGCCCAATTACGTTGGGAAGAATGCTGAGATGTAAGTCTAATACTAGATGGGAGGTATGCTGGTATGTAACTCTAGTAGAGGGTGTTTGTATAGTGATGCGTTTACAGTAGGTAAGATTTACATTTTTTAACTATAGACAGGGGAGAAATATTTCATGGCTGGAAGTCTTCTGCAAAAGTTTTCTTCAGTATTGCAATACATGATAAAAATTCACAGAACTTCTTCCCACAAGTGTTTCCCACTATTCGTTGTATAGGGCTCAGGCTATGCCCATAGGTACCTAATTTAACAGGAAATGTCTCTTTATGCATCACTTCAGCTGTGTTGTAGCGTAGCATACCGTCTTACAATACACATACTCTGGAGGCACGATAACAGAACCCCCACATATTCATAGTACGATTTACCACGGGTGCACTCTGTTTGTTAACCACACAATGATACGTATCTGCACACACACAATAATATTGTATGTAAGAACACACTTGCCCCTAGTCAGTGTGATTCTGCTTCCGTTAGTGGGAAAGTGTGGATGCTAGCCAACACTAACATATAGGCTACAGCCTCTCCAATACTTTCTCTTGTCAAAGTGGTGACCCCTGCTGTCGCTAATGTATGTTAGTATAAATAGAACAGGTACCCTATTGCAAGACTACACGGCAACTTCACATCTGTGCTGACAGTCAGGCTAAGGCCCCCAATTTGTATATATAAGGCTCTAGCTAAAGTATGAATAGAGAAAACGGCCAAGCATTTAATTATGCCACTATGCACTGGAATTTGTTTTGCCGTGGAATACATCACAACAATTCTTCTTCACTTGACGTGAATTGTAATAATATCCGGGGGGTCATAGATGGGACCCATTGTCCGCAGCAATTCAGGATAATTTGCATGGTCTAGGGCTGCCGACCCCCTACAGCAAGAGTTGGAAATCTGCCGCCACGCAGACGCGCTGGAGAGTTACGTAAGTGCAAACAGCCAACACACTATCCAAGTGTTGGCATAACACACACATATTGAACTATACCCTTTATAGGTCTTGGTATTTTGTGAACAGTAATGACAGAGGTCCCACAAGTGTTACGGATGAACACCAATGAGTGTGTATGCGAGCACATTATAGAGCTGCCTTCACAGCAGAGCCTCTTTCCTTGAATTTGTTTTTGGTATTGTTTACTTTGGCCATTGATGTTTACACGGTTACGTACTTTAGTACCATCTGTTAGATACCCTATAATTTGGCTGTAATCCACAAGAGACTGGCGCAAGGGAAGCACTAGTTTCTATTTGCAAACACTGCTAAGCCATCATTGATGGGTCCCATGGCATACCACGGTACGTATGTGTTACAGAAGCACTACTATACTGGACACAGAGTCACCACAAGTTTATAGAAAGCCGGAATTCTATACGCATACTTACACAGTGTGTGGCGGGATAGAGGGAGTGTGGGCACCACGCACGCACCTGTAATTCAATGTAAGCCCTTAATTCACAAAGTCGCTGTCTCAGTTGCAACGTAAAAGCATCGGAATACCTTTATGTGTACACAGTTCGAGTCACCGAGGCATCATCAAAGCAAGTCCGAATGTTCTCGCACGTTTGCACGTACGTGTGTGATGTAGACACACAGGTTTTGATACACCCTTTCAATAAGTTGTATGTGGGCTTTTAAAGCGATAATAGATATATACACCCACCCATGCATAATCAGTTCAAGGGAGTGTAAAAATTGTTCTTTGGTTTGTTTCCCCTCGCTATCATGTCTATTATCTGTCCCGTCTAGGTATTCTCTAACTGAGCTAATTAAATCCAATTACCTATCTAACCCCATTCGTTATGTTCCTTGACCATCTTTAACCTACTGTCTACCTTGATCTTCCTGTGTGGACATACAACTGGCTCTCTAATTGCCAGTATCCACCATTGGGCAACCTCAAGAAACTACATACATACGTACTCTATACCAGTTCTGTAACAGAATGTTTCTTTTGGATGCTAACAGTATGAATGGCTCTAGCCCTACCCTCAGTGATATCATTCCTTGTGAGTCCCTGTGAGCTTACTCAGTCAGCCTGTCCACCAACAGGCCCTCCTGTCTAGCTACAAACTCCCTTCTCCCTGCCCTACCCCACCACATTGAATGAATGACCTCATTCGCCAGCTAGTTTTCAACTAGAAATGTGGCTACAATACTGCTCATGCCTCACTGGCTCTCTGCCTACATTATCCTGGCTACCAACAATGCTGACTGTCTTGGTGATTCAGGCTCCACTACTATCTGGGCCACTTCCTGCCACCACTAACTCCCTGTCTCCAGCATCACTTCCCCACTCCTCCCCCCATCCTCACTATAATGAGACAGTTTCCAGCAGTTATCTAGCTGTCCTTCCTGTGTGGCCTTGAAATCACCTCCAAACCCAATAAGACAAAAATGTACATTCTAGGGCAGTGAAGGGGGGGGTAAGTACATAGAGAAGAAAGGCGTCACAATGCAATTAGCTGAACATCTCAGAGGCTTCTGTTGAACTGAAAAGCTTGAGTAGTGCATGCAACCTAAGAGTCACCAAATGAGAGGTAAGTGTCAGTCATTAGAGGCGTGAGTTTGCATCGCTGGATGTCATGTACGTATTATGAATTAGAAAGAGCTGCTGACCCTCTACAATCACAAGGGGTGGAAGGTGAAGCTGTGACTTATAAAATGTGACACACTCTAGGAAACTGGGCATATACACTTTTTAAAACCTATTCTCTTTCCAACCCTTGTTTGTTAATCAGAGTTGATTCTACCGTATGAGGCTAAAACAATTTTGGATCCCTCTCAACATAAGAGTCTCCAATTCACAACTGCTTGGTGGAAGAGGCTTTATCAACCTCTACAACAATCGCTGCAGCCTTGCGCCCTCAGGCTAAATCCACACATCAAAGTCAAATAATTAATTGAATGGCTTCTTGTTCATAGAGTCCTATCTGAAGAATGCATCAATTAGTCTCAACACTAGTTAGAAATCCCCATCCACCAGTACTGTAGTACTTCAGTAAAGCTGAGCATTGAGTTTGATGTGGTGATTGGGCAGACTTACACTCTGCTGCTCTTCATTGCTTGTGCGGGGCATTATAACCATGGTACAGCAGTGTGTTAGATGATATTACAGATGTCGTGGGCTTCAATCTCACCCAGAGTGTCTGCATAAGTAGTTGCATACGTAGCTACGTAGGTTTTGCCCGTGTGTCCACATAATGTGTGTGGGTATACATACTCGTGATGTACGTAGGGACGTAAGTTATTCCATAGAGCACTTTTTGACCTTCAGGGTAAATAACTGACCACAGAAGATGAACTTGCATATAGATGAATATCACATGGTTTTCTTACTGCAAGTATGGAACCCACATGAGTGCATGTTAGAAGGGGGTGGTTGGATAGAGGCAGTATTGTCCGTGGACAAACATGCCATTCATTCCCTGCCAGTGGTGGTACTATAGAAATACACAAACCAAACTGTGTGCGTAAGTATTAAAAATAGGCAGGATTGAATGGAGAGTTTTATAAACACATACAGCTTGTAACAGTAATGTATGTATATACCTGAAAGTAGGAAAGTGGAACCCTTCTGATCTGGACCCCAATAGTCAGGTTCCCCTTATTTCAGGGGTCGAAATTCTAAATCGAGTCCTCATTAGGGAGGTGTCCTCCTTAGAGAGAGGTTCCACTGAATATATACATCTTGGAAGCAGTGTTGGTGTACCAGGAAACTGGCCAGAATTACATACGTAGAATGCCCAAAAATGTTACTTTATCCAACAGGATGTTGTACACACAGCCAAAAACACTCTGCCATAGAGCGCATCGAAAGGAAACTGTGTCTAAGTTAAGTGCCTTCCACGCTCAGAATAGATTTGCCTAGAAATAAAGTAGGGGGCCAATTGGGGCCTTTCAAAGATAGGAGGATACACAGGGTGATTTGTATAGTCTGCCCGCTGACAGTACTGATTGCATGGGGAAAATCATTTCAAAGGGTGAATGCTTACCCCCAATCTGGTACGTGTATCAGTGCTCTATCATAGGTCTTTCACACAATATTTGCCATCACTGTTAGGCAGCACTATGCACATTTTGGACTACATACGTACCTTTGGGTTTATTTGTAGCGTTTGTAACGCTGAACTACACTTTTTACACACAAACTGAGGCCCAGCTTTAGTTTCAGAATGCACTATCTGACACACAGCGCTCATAAACATTATGCTCAGCAGTAATCCATAGCCGATGACAGAGCAAACTACATTTTGGTTGAAAACTGCACTATAAATTTGGCATGTGCTCTAGAAGCCAACAAGGAACAATGACATACATCACAGTGTGTTAGCGTATATGAGTGTTGTGTTTACCCTCAAATTGACGATGGCACCACCGAGAAGTGTATGTTGGATCTTTGGTTGTGAGGCGTGTGCTGTAGACCTACAATGCCCTAGGGATGCCATATTCAAAACAAAGACACGCTTGTATACAGAACGGAAGCCAAGAATGGCAAAGTCTTAGACATGCCTGCATCCTACGTATTTGTAGAACCTACACTCATTGTGTCTCTCTCCTTCGATCAGCACTTATAATGTGGGGAGACTTCTTCTCAGGAAGTGTTGGCTTTTGTGAATGTCATGTTTAGCCTTCTTGAGCGCCGTGTTTTTGCTACGAGATCGGCTGACCACGAAACGGTGCCGTTGGCTGCCCTCAAGATCCACGGTCTAGGGACCAATAATTAGGGGACTATTGATCCATGCGCCTCATTCATAATACTAATCAGTTCATAATGCTAATAATATTGTACCCTATAGACCGATTCACCTGCACATGCAAAAGGCATTGCATGTACCATGACCCACGTGAAGTATACCAATATAATTATTATTATAATACAAGTTACGTATGTATAGTAGTATAATATAGTGCATCCATGCATGCATGTGTGTG